TCTGATTAGACATTGTCTGAAAACAATTAGCTTATTTCATGTGGTGAATAGATAGTAAATTAATGCATGCTATTTTTAAGCATTGCATTTCTCTTATTTGGGAGCTGTGAAAGTTAAACAGAATTCATATCAGTTATTTAAGTGAATGCGGCATAGTTAAGGAAAACTCACAGGCATTTTTAAAATTTTACTGACACCAGCATTCCCCATATGTTGAATAAGAATGTAATTTGATGCTTAAGTTTTTGGTTGGAGAAAAAAATTAGAAAAGGTAGCTGGTCTATGGAAAAGAGTAGTTAATGTTTAATTTGTTGTGTCTCCTTTCTTCAGTATTTGTACTATCTCTTCCTAATTTCTCATACATTTCTTTGTTTTCTTTTTCTCCAATTTTATATGCATATATCTGGTAATATGAATAACTAGTTGGAAGACAACTATATTTATTATGACAAAAACTGTAAAATTCATATTATTCTGTTAAGTGAAATTCAGTATAACTTGCAATACTTTCTGTTTTAATTCTAATTTGTTTTTTTTTAATTTTTATTTATTAGAGAGAGAGAGAGAGAGAGAGAGAGAGTGTGTGTGTGTGTGTGTGGTGTGTGTGTGTGTGGCCAGCTCAGCCAACCAGAGGGCGGGGCTGGCTGGCATGTGGTGCTGGGGGATAGAACCGCGGTCCCCGATGCTTTGCTAAGCTTGTTCTAAGTAGGTGCTTTAGACCACTGAGCCATCTCTCCAGCCCCTAATTCTAATTTGTACTCTGTTTAAAAAATAAAAATTATATAGTCCTAAATTAAAAAGAGGTGGTTATTATACTTATTCACCTTTTTTTAAAAGAAAGAATCAACTGGGTGTTTTTATTAATTTTTATTCTAAAATAAAAGTTAAGGTGAATTAGATCTAAAAAATATTGCTATATTTGTTTGTCACCATGATATTATAGTCATCTTCCATATTTCTATTGCACCAAATTAATAGTTTGTGTATGCACAAAAAATAAAGTTAATTTCGAGTGAAATCTGCTATTCTATTCAATATTATTAAATTTCCTTTCCTGCTATTTTATTTATTGTACTTAAGGACAGTCAACCCCTTGTGCTAACTACCCTTGATCCTTTGGTGTGTTTGTTATGACAATCAAGCATGTTCGAAAGCCAAGGATTAGTTACTTGAGCATCTAGATCAAAATTAACATTTTCAGTGTCATGACACAGACAGTTACTGTGTATTATTCAGAAATTAGGTGATTGCAAAATGAGAGTTTGACTTAGTCACCAGCCCATTTTCTGCCATGGTAGATATTAAATAAACCAGGACAAATGTAGATGTTTGAATAAATTCAAAAGACTGTGAGATTCTTAATTTAGGTCCCAAAAAGTTATCCTTTGCTTCTGTATCTAAAAGCATAATATTTTGAGTCAAATGTATATTTGAAGCGAATACAGTACAGTTTTATTCTTGGACACATTATGCTTATACATTTCTCAAAGTAATAGATTTTTCCTGAGGACTATTTTAATTAAACTACTCTTCTATTCTGGAAGGACACATGCGCACAAATACTTATCAAAATTTCATAAAAAACAGAAAATAACAAACTTAGAAAATGTGAACCAAAAATGTCTCCAGATATTCACAAATATTAAACTAAATGTCTTTATTAATGTTAATAAAAATGTATTCCTTTCATTTTGAATTGGACAACAAAAATACACTACAACTTAGAAATGTTAGTTTCCTATTCCTTTTTCTTTTTTTTCTTACATTTTTAAATAAAAATTTAAAGAGTTCAAATTAGAATTAAAACAGAAAAAATTACAAATGATGCAGATTTTCACTTTACAAAGTAATATGAATTTCACAGTGTTTCTTGTGTTGTCTTCATAGTGTTGTCTTCCAATCAGTTATTCTTATTAGCAAATATATGCATGTCAAATTGGAAGAAGAACAGCAGGAAGAAATGTGTAGGAAATTAAGAGAAAAAGTGCAAACAATTTAAAAAAGAGACAAAACAAATTAAAGCATTAACTGTTTCTTTGCATAGATAGCAGAAATAGTCCTATTCTCTTTGATTCAATCAAAATAGGGCCTTAAGGAAAGCTAGGGTAACTGTTAAGTAGGCGATTTCCTTGTGGAAACTTGACAATAAAATGGTAGAATTTAGAACCCCGCACCAATCCTCAGGTTGTCTGTCTTAGCCTCACAAATTGGGATACATTGTTGCATTTACACATCTAGTTAATAAATATGTGGAAATCATAGCATTGCCTCAGTGAACAAAGAACTTGTAAAGATGTCAAATGCTTTTCAGTGACTTTAAATCGCTGGAAGGCAAAAGAAGTTTTAAGTGAGAGGAATGGACATTAATGGAGTCAAAATGTAGAAGCACACCACTAAGACACTGGCCATTTTTCTGAAGGAAGATCCTATTAAAATATATGTAGAGTAGAATAAAGAATGAACTTCTATTTTATGTTTATGTTTAGTGGGGTAACATGTGTGGTAGATGGGGTGACAAAACTCATGTATAGCAAATAACCAGAATCTGGATATTTTTATAGCAAAAATACATTGGAAGGAATATTCACTTAATAGATTATGCTCCATGAAGACAGTGCAATTGAAACAATTGTCAGCAGCAGTAATAACTTGTAACAGGGACATTAAAGGTAGAAATAAATGGATTCTAATGTATGAAAATATTCCTGCACAAAAACTATAAGGCAAAGGAAAACTGTAAAATGATGCTTTAATATGGACTAAATATCATTAGTATATGTAGTTATCAGACTACACTTCAAATGAGATATTTAAAGACTTAAGAATAGGCTCATAAAATCAAAAGGAAAGTTGTAAACCAAAGAGGCACAGGTGGCCGGGGGTATAGCTCAGTGGCATAAGCTCCTACCTGGCAAACGCAAGGTCTTGAGTTCAATCCCTAGAACCACAAAAAGAAAAAAAATAAAAAATAAAAAGAAAGAAAGAAAAAGAAAAAAGAAAGAAAGAAAAAGGAAAAAAAGACAGATTTTCATTAGAAAACTGAAAAAGTAAACAAATACATAATTGATCATTTAAAAGACAACAAAAGTAAAAATGAAGATTGCTGAAAATATACTGATGGTATCAAGGAGAAAAATGAAAATAGTAGTCAGAATGCTAATAAAGTGCTAACAGAAAGGATTAAAGATAGGCACAAGGGGAAAATAAAATATGATCTCCCTGACATGGGATTTGTTAAACAAGTTTTAAGAACCAATATTTAAAGACCCAATATTTTAAATCATAATCTAACAATAAAGAGCAGAAACAGTCTTAAAATTGGAAAAAGAAGATCTTCTTAATGATAAAAAATTATTAAAGTTTGTAACATAAGATGTAAAGCTAAAGTAAAAACCTAGCACCATATTTTGGTACTTTAAAATTAAAATAAATTGAAAATAAGACTGCCTACGGAAAACCTCATTATACGTAAAACCCAGAGTAATTACACCAAAACTTAGTCTGATCATTACATATCA